AAAAAAAAAACCCTCAATTGACAGTTACTTTATACAGGCAACATGTTCCTCCAAAACACCGGTGAACTTTCAACAGATTACGTGGCAATATAGCCCAAGACAGAACTCTTCAATTACATGTTTATAGCTGTTCCAACTTCAAACAAATCCAACCACAACCAGAAAACTATGCTTAAAAATAAAGGAAATTGAATTCTGGTTGTAGCATTTCTTCCACATAACTTACACACTTCAAATTAGGTTGTGGTACCCCCCTCAATTGCCAGAGTACAGCTTGTGATTATAGGAAGGACCATAAGAAGGTGAGGCTGACATCAGAGCAGGATACTCACACTCTACACATGACATTCTGATCACATCCAAAAAAATCAATTTGTCCCTACTTTAAAAATTGTTGTTTTCACACTGACTTTACTTACTTGAAGAAAGGGGTCACTAACACCTGAGACATCATGTTCTGGAGAATAGCCTGCTAGTATTAGATTTTTTAGAATACGCACCAAGTTTGGCACAATCTGTAACACAATATCGACATGTTTCAATAAATTGCAATATACAAATACATCTACATAACAATATCATTAAAATACAATTAAATCTCTGCAAAGCCCACTGATGAAATAAGGCCACAATCAGCGCTGAGAAACCCCATTAAAAGAGGACAGTATATACAGATCTGTAGGAATGCTATCTGATACAACACATCAGATTACCTTATTCTGGCACATACAGTGGTTATCCAGACATAAGATAATCTCTCAACCAAAAATTAATTTTCATGGAAAAAAGAAGTCACTCTTCAGTTCCATAGCAGACTTAGACTCAATCAGTCTCTATTTAAATACAAAGTTCAGTAACACTACAATTCTTAGACTCACAAGCTTCTAAGAGGTTTACATATATAACTTCAGGGTGGGATTATCTGGCAGACCAAAACAGACAGTGGAGTTAGGTCATGCAGCCACAGCACAAGGAAGGAACTACATATAAGTCCTCAGTGGCATACCGTACTGTTCCAGGAGCAGAATATACCACTAAGGGCATGTACAAATGGAGAAAATAAAAATAATAAAAAAATTATATTCTACTGAAATGAAGCTCCACCAAAAGGAATTAACTCCTTCAGATTAATTAAAAAATGAATCTGGGACTGCCTGTAATCTCTGATGGCAGAATATAAAGTACAACTGATAGAGTAGCAGGCCATGAAATGAACAACTTATTAGCAAAACAGATGATGAAATTCAAATCACAGGAGCAGAGTTTTCCATCTTCACTGGAGCTGTGTGTTGGGCTATATTGGAATGAAGGACTAGAAGACACCTGGGTTACTGGAATCCTTAACCAAGCACAGGCATACAAAGTTCCTTATCCCAGGACTCTTACTGAATAGAACTGGTGAACTAATGTGGCTCAACAGCAGCAAGGTCACTGCTAAATTGGCATTAGCTTATGATCTCACTTGTATACACGATGTGCCCAGGATCCGTTAGGACTCATTTTTTTTTTTAATTTTGCCTTGCAATGCCATCTGTTGGCGAGTTGTGGCATTACGATTCTTGAAGTTTCAGCTGTGGCTCTCTATAACTTCAAAGTGCAAGCATCACTGCATCAAATTTTGTTTCAAGTTAGGCAAAACAGATGGAGAAGCATACGAAATGATGATAAATGTGTACGGTAGTGATTTTTTGAGTCGCTCAAACATTTTTCAATGGTATGCTGTATTTCATGACAGCAGGGAGGATACTGAAGACGCTCCACGTGCATCAAAGCCAAGAACAAGTCGCACTGAAGAAAATGTGAAAAAAATGACCGAAGTCCTTGCATCAGACAGATGTGTTTCTGCAAGACTCATTGAGGAGCTTCTGGGAATACAAAAAAGTATTGTGCATCAAATTTTGAGCGAGGATTTGGGCAAACGCAAGGTCTGTGCACGGTTTGTACCGCACGCACTGTCAGGCGATGAAAAACATGCCAGAGTGGAATACTGCAAAGACATGTTACGTTATGGCTGGCCCAAAGTGATACAAAATTTACAAAATCAATTGTTACTGGTGACAAGAAATGGTGTTTTCAATATGAGCCTCTCAAAAAGCAGCAGAGTGCAGCATGGTTGAGCCCAAAGAAGCCGAAAACAAAGAAAGTGAGCATGCAAAAGAGTCGAGTAAAGACACTGCTAACAGTTTTCTTCGATTCCAAAGGAATTTCTGCCAGAAGGTCAGACAGTGAATTCTTATTACCATCTTGGAGTCCTCAATCTTTGAATTTGACCTGAATATTGAGAGCAAGGTTCCTGGTCGCTCCTCCACAATGCCCCACCCCACAAATCAAAGATCGTGCGCAATTTTTTGGCCAGAAAAGGGATCACAGTCCTTGATCATCCTCCGTATTTCCCAGATTTGGCTCCAGCAGATTTCTGGTTGTTCCCGAAAGTTAAGTTGGCGATGAAAGGAGACCATCATGACACCATCCAGGACATCCAAAGAGAATCTACTGCAGTTTTAAATGCAATTCCACAAAAGGAGTACAGTGACTGTTTTCGAAAACTTTTCAATCTATTCTAGCTATGTACTGATTTAGAAGGAGACTATTTTGAACAAAAAGAGTGTAATTTTGAAAATAATCCATGTCTTGTATTTTTAATGAACACAGTCCTAAGGCTGGGGCCACACGAGCGCACAAAATGCGTCCATTGTAACGAACATTGTGACATCCGTTGTAGAAATAAACAAGAAAGGTGAATGCTACACTTTCTTCTGGCTCCACTGCAGACAAAAAACTACGCACCGCATTCTGCAACTGTGTGGTGTCTTCAGCAACGTCCGTCATAAAGTACATTCGTTGCAACGGACGAACTTCATGCGCTCGTGTGGCCCCAGCCTAACAGAACCTGGACACACTGTGTACGTCAAAATTTTAATGAAATGGCTTTAAGCATACTGTGCTATTACAGGTCTCCTGCAAGACGCATAAACCGGTCCTTCAGAGATCTCTCACCGACACCTCATGAGTGTCACAAAGTCCTGGACACATGAAGTCTATTAAAAGTCTGCTGATGGGAAAAACAATGGAGATGTATAACAGCTCATTACTAGCCACAGTGCCAGAGTGGCATATGTGCCCACCCTTTCCTAATCTAATTCCAGGAATCATTTAGCTATTTTGAAGGAGTATGTAACATTACTCATGTATGTCTCACAAACACAAGTGTTCTCACAACAGAAACACAATCTGCAAAAAGAGGTTAACACTGAAATTATAAGAAATGCAAAAAACAATGTCTTAAAAGTTATAACAAACACTAAATCTTCACACTGATATATTGGGTTTTTTGGACTTTATCCAACGTCCTGGTTTTTAAGATAACAAATAAAAACACGACGTTTCGGAAACTGGATCTGTTTCCGTCCTCAGGTAAAGGAAAACACCTATTCAGTTGGGTCCGTTAGAAAGAGCTAGCCTCAATCACTGTCCAGTGATTGAGACTAGCTCTTTCTAAGGGGCCCAACTGAGTAGGTTTAACCTTCCCTATCCACCTGAAGACGGAGACAGATCCAGTCTCCAAAACGTCGTGGTTTTTTGTCTTTTATATACCGGACGATTGGTGAAGTCCAAAATAAGCCAAAAGAAGTACAGTATACACCATTGTCAGAATCCTTTCAAGTCTATTAACAAATGTGCAAAATTAGTATCCATTTTTTTGGTATGCCCAACAAATTTTGCTTCAACAAAAACACATAAAGGAAGCCCGTGATTCGTGAGTCACTTGTCTCAGAACTTTAGCCAAGAGTGTTGTAATCAGTACAAAACAGTGTCACTTTGGTTTATCTCTCATCTTCTCTTTACCAAAAAAAAGCATAAACTATATGCTAAAGTCATATAATTCATATGTTAGTAAGAGAACACAGGCTTGCGCTGATAAAAAATTCATGACCATATGTACAAAATGAATCCATAAATGTTAAAATAACCTTAGCTGCAGCTTAATATAAAATTGTGTATACTTCACCTACTTCACTGTTCACAACCATTTAAATGTTAGAAATGATTAAACAAATCTCACAATTATCAACAACACAAGTGAATAACTTGATTTCAAACTGTACATATCCTGTCATCCTTCAAACATGCAAAAGTAATTTACATCTTCACATGCATATTTATCAAGCAAATGGACAGTCCAATTTAGTTTACACATATTATATGAAACTGCAAAACATACAAAGCAATATCCATACAGATACTCAACCCTTTGCCACATAATTTGAAATCTCTGCATCTGGATGCTAATGGACCAGTTACTTAAGCGTCTGTCATACACTACCTTTTAAGTGTATTAAGAATGGCAGGAGAAATTTAATTTTACTGTTCCATTGTGTTAAGCCAAGACACCTCAGTCAGTATAATGATTGCTACAGGCTGAAATGGGCAAACACAGGAATGTTTCTCTTCATTACTATATCCAGACTGGATCTGACGCCTACCAAGCCCTACACCCAATGGACGCTGGGAGCTCTTTCTGTGGGGATAAACAGTCCTCAACACAGAAGCTGACCAATCATTTCTAACTAGTTTTAAGGTTAAGAGTGAGTAGAGTTGAACCTTCATGATGAGATACTTAAATAAGCACAAGAACTTTGTTTTCATACATTTACTGTGTTTGGAATGGCAAAGAGTTAACATTCAGAACAAAAGACATAAGAACAGAGTACTTGACATAGAAAGTATCCAAATAACACACAGACAAAACACCTTGAAAATTTCATTATATAGAAGGCACATAAATACTGTTCCATAATTGACAGGGGAGCTTCAAGACATCAAACTATATAGAAGGCACATAAATACTGTTCCATAATCGACAGGGGAGCTTCAAGACATCAAACTAAGTCTAGAAGGTTCAGTGAACATCAGTCCACATTTATTTTAATCTCTTCAAGTGACGACACATAAATGACCAATAAGGATGTTTTGTCTTAGGTATTTTTGGGCATTTTTCCTACTTTAGTACTCTATCCTGACTCTTAAACAGTATGAACATCACAGTCAATAAGATCTTGCCCATTACATGCAATTTTTCACAGCCAACCTTTCAGTAAGAAGCATGCCAATTCAAGGTCTTTCATGCGACCAAGATGATTTCTGTGTAAGCTTGTGGAATCCTACTTCATGACTTTACTACATTAATGTCAGAAACTGAAGGATTCAACTACGTAATGTGGGTGTAGTATAACCCAATTTTCATTAATATGTACATATTGTGAAATTTCACTTCTTACATGCTCTATATACAACCACAGAGTATTCACAATCTTGACGTGGTGAAAACATGAACTGTGGTATGAGGATTTCATGTTTATACTACTGGTGCTCAAACTCTCACCCCAGTGACCCAGATCATAAAATCCTAATTTAGCCCACTGACCACTGACTCAGCATCAATGGCATATACCGGTAGAGAAATGTATTTTGCTGACTGTACTGCACTATTGTTTCAGAACAAGTGGCACATGCAATGACTACATACAGTAGTTTCAAATGTGAAGGCTGTAAGCATCAATAACCAAATAACACAAAATCAATTTCTTTTTACCTCCTGGTGACTGGAATCCTAAACATGGACACAAAAAGAAAAAGCCATACATTAGAATTAATTTCATGCAGCACTCTGTGGTCCCATGTCAGTAGCAAATGCATCTCAAATTTATTTCGACAGTGGACCACGAAGTGCTGAAAAAAACTATGACATGGTAATTTAAGAACAAACTCAGTTCAAATATACATAAAAACTGATTAAAATGCATTACTATTACTAATCAGTCTTTCAATCAGTGATGATGGAGCCACATAACTTTGGCATAACTGCTCTATTAATTAATGGTTCTTCCTCCATTTTAATAAATCTTGGAATTTTAATTCATTACTTCAAGTCAACAATCTAGGAGATGTTTAAACTTTATCACCTGGAATCTTTATTTCCTAGTATTATATTTTCCAGTTGTGTCATACATAAACCTGTGTTATATTTAATACCACACAAAATTTGTAGGACACATGCAGGCTGGCAGTGAAAATTATACTTCATTCCAAATGAATCTTCTGAATGCTATCATTAAATTCACATCCTCTATTCTATTTGTACTGTTCGTCTAGCATTAACGTCAAATGCAGGATAACTTAAGCTCATTAGGTCATGCTCAATAAATGAAAAAATACATATTACAGGCTCACATGGCATCATATCAAAGCAGCACATATCACAATTTTCTCAGAAAAATCAACCATGATTAGAATGATAATGAAAAAGAATTCTTATGATCAGCAGCATACTGAATTAACTACACGCAACTTCAGGTCCATAAGGGGGGGGGGGGGGACTAGCAGGTCCATTTGGCCCAGAACCCTAGCTTACAGGGGCTCCAAATATACTTTTATTTAATTAAAAAAACTGTCATAAGTATGCAAGAATGGGAAAATTCCATTTAACTATTGATTTACTGTACTTGCCCTTTCATTGATATTAATTTGCACTGTTTAGATGACAGAAAATCCGATTTTTTAAAGCATTTAATAAATATGGCTCTCAAAATGGTGTGGGAGCCCCCACACTTGTGACTCGCCTGGGCTCCATCTCACCTCTCTCAGGCCCTGCTTACTGTATTAAAAAAAGTGAATGTATGAAAGTTGTACTAAGTACTACAAACTCACTAAGCCAAGAGGCCCTAACCAATAAAAACTCAAAGGTTACACACAGGGATCCTACTGTACTACATAAACAGTTTAATTAAATTCATTTAATGCTTAATACATTTACAAAAATATACATAACAAATTTCAAACATTCTGCGTTTACCACAAGCCCCTTTTTACATGCCAAGAAACAGAAAGAAAGATGGGGGAGGGGGGACAAGATGCCAAATTACACAACTGTTATTAGTGATCTCTCTGTTGCAGTTTGTGTTACTACCATATCTATTGGAACCGTACGAGATTCAGAAGATGGCATGACAAGAGTTTAGTGTTTACAAGGCAGTTCATCACAAAGTCTATGTCTGGCCCTCTTATCAGAGCTGTGGCTTGGGAAACACTTCTTATACTGCAGGCAGTCAGCGTTAGAAGGGGCATGCGGTACCATAGTTGGCTGAGGCACTATACTACAAGCCAGAAGGTCGCGGGTTCAGGCCCAAATGAGGTGGATTTTTTTTAATTTACCTAATCCTTCCTGCCACATTATGGCCCTTGGGTTGACTCAGCCTCTAACAGAAATGAGTACCAGGAATCTTCCTGGGGGGTAAAAGGCAGATGGTGCATAAGACTGACAACCGTAACGCCATCTGTGAGCCGCTTGTCTAGAAAATGTGGGAGCCTCGACATCTCACAACCCTATGGAACTTCACAGTCTGTTACAGGGATAGTTTTACCTTTTTTTTTTTAAATCTTTTACCACATAAGAAAATGCACACTAGCACAGTTACTGAATACAAATGTGTGATGGCTATGGACCAATTTTCATGACACTGTTTTGTACTTATGGTAAAGCATATTTCCTCTCTGCATGACTACCTCTGTGACAGATGGTATTTCCTAAGATGCAACACCAATAAGACCGAACCTTTGTGATGAACCATCCACTTAAGCTCTACATGGAGAAGTCAGTCTTTGAAACTATTATATATTATTTAAAATAAATATATATTAATACAGAAAGAAAGCCTCAAGATACCGAGGAGGTTTAACTGATTAAGTGACAAAGAATGTGACCTGATTTGCTTTGAAGGAGAGAATTATAGAGAATCACATAAGAAGACTCCTCAACAGTTTTCTTGTAAGAAGACTGCTTACAAAAGTTGTGGCAGTGCAACTTGTTACCAAAGCCATGATTGTTAAAAGAATAAAACGAATTATTTACATATGGAAGTACCACAGCTATAATGTCTTTCCTCAAAACACCTTATTTTAAATTAGAACATTAACCACTACAAATGCAAAAACTGTGTTGGTGGTGGTGGCAGTGGGGACGTTGGTGTGGTGGCAGTGGCAGGGGAGGGGGAGGGTGGTGGTGGTGGTGGTGGTGGTGGTGGTTGTTGTTGTTGCTTTTGTTATTTTATTTTATTTTAACTTGACCTTTAGAATGCTGTTTAACAAAAAGACAATGAATTTTAAAATACTAACCATTCCCTGTGAACTGCCTCTGAACAAGGGAATAAATTCTATCACTATTACTACACTTACAAATGAGCAACCAATCTCTATATTACAAGTATAGAAGATGTAGCTTTTAAGAGCATATATAACTCAAATTTCTAACTATTCTATCAAAGGCACCGACAACAAACTAGCTTTATTACATTTTATATAAAAAATGTCACATGGAAACAAAATTAGCTAACGTTATTAAACAACCAACCTATAACTTACACTGAAACAAACAGCAAATGATCATAGGATTAAAATAAATCATTACTTTTCTCAATCAACGCACACAAGATAACTACCGTACAAAAATAAATCACTGCCTTCTTTCCTGAATAAGTACTGTATTTACAGTATCCCTAGATCCCCATCATGTTATTACTGTGACGTCTCGACCAACTGTTAGGCAATGGTTCAATAAACACGTTCCCGCGGAGACAGATTGTTGGTAAACAGCCGATGCTGAGTAATGCGTACAACAATACGCAACTATAAAGGACATCCATTGCTGGGTATTGGACCAATAAGCATGCAGCTACAACCATATGCAACAAGAATGAAAGGTGTTTTCTCTGGGGTGTGTGCCAAGGCAGTCTGCTAGGCAACAGCATGGCAACACACCTCGTACAATAGGGGGGCCACATTTTCTGTGTTGCGTGGCCCATGCCGAAACTTTATAAGGGAGACAATTTGAAGGAGGAGTCAGTTGCTGACAGGAGATAGCCATGGGAAGTTAGTAGCTGAAGAAGAATTAGAAGTCAGCCTGTGATTAGAAGATTTAGTCACAGCGAGACTGTTTTAATTCCGTTACTTGGATGCAAGTAGTGAAGATTGAGAATTCTAGTGTGTGCGTAATGGTGAACTGTAATTGTGTAAATCAGTGATAGTGCTGTATTGCTTGTAAGTACAAGTTGATTGTACAAATCCAAACCAGAACCCATTATTATTAGTCACCGAGCCCCAGATACACGAGAATATAATTATACAAAACAGCATACTCTTGTCGATGAACTCATTCAATTCATATATCCAAAGTACCCTCCTGTGTAAGGTAAAAAAGAAAAGAGATTTACATGCACAAGGAAATACATTAAAACCTGTAAAACTCTACAATACATGAGATTTTTTCTATAAATGCAAATAATATCCATACATACTTGTCATTACCAGTGTTTTTCACATGTAGCATGATGGACTTACCTTTTTGAAGTGATTTAGTGTGTCGAGACTGTTTTCACACATTTCAGTGATTAAGGTGACTCCAGTGATTAGAACGCCTGAAAAATAAATTCCATGTTACAACCACTCTTCCTAAACTGATACCCATACAAATCAGACGGTGCCCATTTTCCTAAGTCTGATAATGAAATAACAGAACTGACTCTATAAAAATAGTCAGCTCACCTTCGGACTTCGCATACGCATTCCATCATCTATACCATGTTAGAAACATTTAAAAAATCATTTCTCAAGGGCACTTTAGCATTATCATCATAGTGCTCTGAATGTACACATAGGTCATTTCAGAAATAATGCACACAATTTTTTGTTTAGGTCCATGTTTATTTTTTTTTAATATCCCTTTACAGTCCTTCAATATAGTCCCCCTGCTTCTCAATGACCCAGTCCCAACGTGTGGGAAGCTTTACTATTCCCTCCAGGACACCATCTTTGTTTTATCTGTCAAATGGCTTGGGTAACTGCAGCAGAAAGCTCTTCCAGAGAGGGAAGTTCACACTAGTGCGAAAATAGTGTTACAACTCACCACGTGAAACAAAAGTTAATGAATATTAAACAACATACAAGTCTCAAAAAAGCCTCAGTAGCCCCAATCCGCCCCCGGATAATCGAGAGTTGACTGTATTTGTTCCTTGGCCTATAATCATTTTACTGGAAGTGCTATGCATAAACACACGTTCTAAAGATGCAAAGTTCACGTCAGGTCCAAAGACTAGGTCTTCTTCAATAAGAGTGCTGCTATGTTCTTACTTTGCAACTAGAATGCTTAGTTGACTGTTCTGGAGGAATACATTTGTAACTGGAAACAACTTTGATATCAACAAAAGCAAAACGTCTCAGTGCCAGTCATTACTAGTATTTAACACGATTTTCTATTCACATAAATGTATAAGAAAATGACATCATTTACTTTTTTATTAATATTGAAAAGCTTAATTTTCACAACTACAGAAAAGAATTTTACTCAGAAAGAACTATTTAATCCCATGAAATACATACCATGATTTTTCTCTGACAGTAATGACCGTGTCGCTGGGAGAAAGATCTCCATTAATTCTGGAACTTTGTGTATTATGCGGAATGCACACAATGCAGCTTTCTTGCGGATATATGCATTTGGTGACTTCATCAGCCGTTCCACTTCAGAGGCAAGATCACGAGACATTTCAGGCGATGCAATGGCACCCAAGGTACATAGTGCAAGGCCAACCACAAACTGTGTTGAACTGTTCAAATCACTAAAACAGTAAGGAGTGTCAATTGATCAACACAGGTTAATCAAGCTTATTTCTATCGCTGTCCAATTATGGAGCTGTCAGACTCCTATACAGACAACACAAAATGTGTCATACATAATAAATTAACTTATTTGCTAGACCTTTTGTAATTTCTGTAGCCTAACTTTCCCATTTCCTGGATAGTCTCTTTCCAAAAACAGAAGATCACATTAAGTGGAGGAACTGTTTTGGAACTGTCATCTGACAGATTACTGATCAATCAATCAACTTTCCCATTATATTTTAAAACAGTATAACATACAAGACTTTAGATGCATGATACAAACAGCTACTTTATCTTTAAGTTCTGTTGCAGTGTACTCTCTTAAACCATTAAAATATGGTTATTTTAATAAAAGAACATGCAGAAACAACTAGTGAATTAAAATCCATCCTGCTTATAACATAAAGATTCAAATATCTCTGCATGCCTACCAAGCATATCCTTTAGATACAACATCAGTGATGGATTAAACACAATCAGTGGCATCAATCAGATGGCAAATAATATTTTCAGGTACCTACCAGTCCCAAGCAGAAGACATTAATATTTTCATACCCTCTTAATTTATTATTACTGAAGGATCTGAACAACTGTCACAGACCTATTGATTCATTCTATATATATCTCAAACAAAACAACTTTCACAGAAGAACATACAAGATTTCTACAACCAAATCTGTATCAATCTTACTGATACATAAACATTACTACCTACACTTGAACTTTCTGTGAATTCATTTTGGTTGAAGAAAGGCTTTTATAAGCGACACAAATCCAGCATAATGAGAACTCAAATTCTAACTGCAGATAATGATAATCTGGGCTAAAACTTTATACAATAGGGCTTACCTAAATTTGCATTTCATAATATATTTACAAAAATATAAAAACTTTGACTTAACAGCCCAAGCATAAAAATTTACTTTATGATTACATTGGCCAATCAGAGACACTTATTTACTTAACCAAGACAATGTGTACAAAATACTATTAAATAAACATGTAAATAAATCTGCTACATTTTTATATCAGATAAACTATATGGGCATTAATAATCAAAATAACCATTAATGGCATAAACAATTTGCAACACATCATCTAAAAGTGATTCTGATTTATTCTTATTGATACCAAGCACAGAATGACAATTTAACATCAGTTTTAATTTTAAAGCTCAATATCTGAATACAAAAAAAAAAGGGGGGGGGGCAGATGCAAGGGAAACCAAGAGATGCCGACATACAACATAAATGGATAGGTGATTCAACCAGTCTTTAATAGAACCACTGCCAACTTGTTATAAAATTATAAAATCTGTATTCACAGGATGAAATATTCCTTGTTTGGATATTCATAGCTTCAAATCTCTATAACAATATATTTATGGTGTACTTACTTACTTACTTACTTATTCATGGAGCTGAGCCCCTCTGGAGGAGCCGCCAATTCTGCAGCTACTCAAGAATTTCCCATCATTCTATGGAACCCGAAGGTTCATTACCATGTTCACAAGAGCCCTCCACTGGTCCCCATCCTGAGCCAGATCTATCCAATCCATACCATCCCATCATATCTCTCAAATATCCATTCTAATACTGTCCACCCACCAATGCCTTGGTCTTCCCTGTGGTCTCTTTCCTTCTGGCTTTCCAACCAATATCCCATACGCATTCGTCTCCCCCATTCGTGCTACATGCCCTGCCCACCTCATCCCCCTTGACTTGATCATTCTAATTATACTTGGAGAAGAATACAAGTTATGAAGCTCCTCATTATGCAGTTTTCTCCAACCTCCTGTCACCTCATCTCTCTTCGGTCCAAATATTCTCCTCAACACCCTGTTCTCAAACAACCTCAGTCTATGTTCCTCCCTTAATATTTATAGTGTACTAGTTAAGAAAAATTCAATGTCCCATACCATAAGCAAGGGCTGTAATTTGTTTTTATTTTAAGTGAGTTTTAACCACAACAGCAATTTACACCTATGATCTTTACATACGTTAATTCTGGCACCTGAAAAATGACTCACTTCTTTAAGCAGTTTGTGATGAGCAGGTGGACATCCTGGCGTTCATCCAACAACAACATGGCACCCAAGTATCCAATGCGTTTGTCAGTGAACCTTGGAGAAGCTATCAATTTCAAGCATTCTAGTTGACCGAAGTGTGCTGGATACCTGAATCACAAACATTTGCTACTAAATCAAGCTGTAAAATCTATTTCATCTGCAGAAAAACCACTGGAACAGGTCATATTTATGTCCACTGTACTGTTTTCATTTTACAGTGAATGCAGATAAAATTGGAGGATTCTGATAAATAATTATGAGATCAAGCTTGCTGACACTAGTGTAACTGTAATTTTTAAGTCCCCAGTAAACAATCAGCTATGACCTCATACACAAATCAAGTTCCTTTTCACTGCAGTTCGCCAAATTTTCCTCACCCAAGCATATGTATGTACAGAAGTTTGGCAATATTCCGACAGCGCCAGACACTATCCTCTTCACGGAATGTTGAACGGATATAAGCACACTCCTTGTTTATTACGGCACGTTCCTCTGCTGCTGTCCGTGCAGCCCGTATCTGTCTGATCAGATCCCTTAACCGCATAGGAGTAGGCATCCTCACTAAACAAAAGAAATCATATAATTCCATAGCTAACAGCATCAACAATTATCATATTCACATTACAGATCACACATCAAGCAACTGGGTGCCAGAGAAACAAAACCCATTTCTGCTAACATTAACCTTGCAATCACAGCAGGCAATATTCTGTAGCATGCAGAACCACTGCTAACTAATGACACTGTAAATAACAACACTTGTTGCTAGGCAAGAGATTCCTAACATGCACTAAAGGACTAACTTGGAAGTGGTGCTCTCTACATGGTCCATGCAACAGCTGCATAATACAATAGAAGAGCTGTTGGGAGAGGTGTTTTCTGTGTAGTCCATGCTGCTGTGTTATAAGCAGGACAAGTCTAGAGTTTAGTTAGTTGGGAGACAGTTGCCAGCCAATAACAGCATGAACATGGAAGCTGAAGAACCTATGGTGTTGAAAGCCATTACCAGGCAACAACTGGTGAAGATACAGCAGACTCAGAACACTTTGTGCGTGCTGTAGTGAATCGTAGAGTGTGTGAATTAGTGATAGCACTGTAGTTACATTCTCTAAGAGTTCAAATAATCCAGTTACCAATCCAAACCCTGTCTACAGTCACTCATACACATGGGAATATAAAGCCTGAATATGTTTGTTTGTGGACAGGTCACCAAAGCAAAACTTTCACATGCATTGCAACAGCACACACACACACACACACACACACACATTCATGTTCATGTACTATTTCCATCCCATGAGTGACAGTAATATTTAGATATATGAAATTAATTTAATATTTAGCAATGAATGTATATTTGTTTATAAAGAACTGGAAACCATTCTTCAAAATAGGAGCCAAGAGGATGTTCATATAAATCAGTTCAGTAAAATCATGCAAACTGCTCTAACCTCAAGGCTAAACACAGTCACTTATTACACATCCCTGAAACTACTGAATCAATAAATGCTGCGTAAAAATATCCTCAGATTTTGTTCAATCCAAGCAACTGCATTGGGCACACAGAATGCACACATTATGACAGCAACATCATTAATATTTATGATAACTTGAATTCATTTTGTCATGAAGAATGTGACACTTCAGTATGCCTCTTGTTAATTTTATGCACTATCAGCAACAACATAACACATTGTGCTGTAATGATTATAATTCCACTGTAAAATTGTATCTTTGTTTTTCATTTTCAAAGTTCTGTTAAGTTTGGGACATGCTGCATCCAAAGTCACAACTGACATGCTTAGCAAGAGGAACTGGTTGGGTTGTACGGGCAGATTCCAAGGAATGTGGTCACTCAGACCCAAAGGGGCTGAAGAAATGGAGCCTAATATGGGCCAGCAGGAGAAAAAAAAACAGCCATTTTTTTCAGCACCTGTTTTCACTCCTGTGATAAAAAACAATATTGTGGCCATTACAAGGGCAGGTTTCTGCTCACCACTCTTATTAGTCAGGAGAAGGCTCCATTTCCTCACCCTTGCCCATGGGCCTGAATGACCATGCTGCTTGCAACCTGTCCATGTAACTCACCAATTCTTCACCCTGAAGATGGGGACAGCATGGTCCTCTGACAAGTCAGTATCTACCTACTGGGCAACATGGTATTAGACTACGGTAGACCACAATTCTGTAAACTACACATGCAATTTAAAAACGTTTAGTTTCAGAAATTAAAAACAACTAAAATTCATTAGTTGATTATCTTCAACAAAAGAAATTAGCTCTATAAACTACACCTACAAATATGCTTATGACAAGGGTTTCAATTGCACTACTTACCCCTTTCCACAGCTTCATTAATAACTTGTTTAATTGCAGCCATGTTGAAGGCTGGGTTAAACCTGAAAACAGTGTATTTATTTTAAGAACAATTTTATACCTAGAAATAAGAATAAATAATAACATAATTTTACAAGACATTCAAGAAGCCAGCAATTGCTCGAAAGAAATGATATAATAGTACAGTTCCTTCCACTTAATTCTTTCTTACACAACAACATGAACTATGAAACATGAAAATAATGAACACTTTATTTTGTATAATTACCCCTTGTAACATGTTGTAATTTGCAATATGTTAAAGGTTAAAAAAAAAGCCATCCCCATAACAGGCCATGAAGGCCCATAGGGCTGAGAGATGTTGAGGCTCCCACATCTTCTCTAGACACTTGGCTCACAGATGGTAAGGTTATCAGACTTACACGCTGACTGTCCTTTATCTCACAGAAAGATTCCTGGTCCTCATTTCTGTTAGGGGCTGAGCCCACCCCAGGACCATAATGCAGCTGGAAGGATCAGGTCAATTGAAAAAATTATCATCAGGACTCAAACCTGCAACCTTCTGGCTTATAGTATAGGGCCCCCCCACCCCACAAAAAAAAGTGTTACATTTAAGAAACAAAACCAGATTACACAGCATGAGAACAAACTCTCTATGATCATTCAATATGGAACTGAAACTGGAAATCCAAATTATAGCTTTCATATGCCAATATTATCTACAGAAATTAAACACATTTCTGGTAAAAATGATGCATTTATATGAAGCTATCCCTGTTAACAGGCTGTGGACGCCCATAGAGCTGTCAGACATCGAGGCTCCCACATTTCGTAGGCAATCAGCTCACAGATGGTGGTGAGTCTGTCAGCCTTATGCACCAGCCACTCTTTATCCCAAGGAAGATTCCAGGCACTCATTTCTGTTAGAGGTTGAGTCAATCCCAGGGCCATAGTGTGAATGGAAGGATCAGGTCAACTGAAAAATCCAATAACCTCATTGGGAATCGAACCAGCGACATTCTAGCTTGTAGCACAGTGCCTGAGCCAACTATGCTGCCGGAAGTCCTCATGATGCGTTTATATACATACTTTACTGTCATGGTCACTTTATTTATTTATTTTAAGAGATGTTATGTATAACTTATGAACAGTAACAAAAGTGATGCAATGTATATGCTGTCCATGTCCTGGGCATACCTTCACACTCCTGATAATACTAAGTAATAGTGCAGGAAACAGGGAACAAAACTGAGTAAGAGGCCTTTACAGCAGGGTGAGGGCAGGGGTAAATTTAAAGTTTACCTTACTGGCCATTGAAACTGAATTATTAGAATTATGAACCAAAACCTATGTACTATTAACAACTGAAGACATAATACTCAGAACAATATTCTAATGTAAATCAATGTGTTTCAAACCTCTAGTCATTTTAAACATGTCAGATAATATACAGACGCTTAACATTCAGCAAAAGTCTTCGGATGGCAGGGATTTTATTTCAGCAAACAGTGTTAATAGCCTTCAACATTATGGAAATCATTCTTAATATTGTTCTCAACATTCTGGAAAATGTTCTTAATCCTGTACTGAACATCAAAGAAAAATTCTTAACACCTTGCTGAGAATTAACAAAACCATTTTGCTATGCTGTATGAGACAAATGCATGCTGCTGAGATAAATAATGAGGGAAAAAGGTCTGTGTGGGAACATCCCACATATCATATTTATACAGCACCCACTTTCCCGCTCACTTTTCACCATCACTCGCCCTAGCCAATCGCGTTGCTTCCAACGCTCACATTTATACAGCACTTGCTGTCTAGCTCACATCCAGATCACTACCCGTGCTAGCCAATCAACGCTCTGCAAATTTCGCTCTTCCATTACGCATGATATAAAAGGCGGAGCACAAACTTCGCAAGTAGTCAGTGACCACACCAGCCAGTCAGCCATCACATCTAATCCAGAGTGATCGGTCTTCGGAGTCCTCGGCACTTCACTGTGTCAGGGATGGCTGCCTCGGCCCTCCGGCGGTCCTGTCCAACTCACTGGGCATCTTGGCTCCCTCGGCTAGCCAGCGGTCATGCCCGACTCACTGGACAACTGGCGCAGCTGCTGCCACTCCAGCGACTGCGCTTCACAACCAGACTTCTCCCAGCAACCACGCTCTGCGATCAGGCAACTTTCGACAACTGCCACACTGTGACCAGGCAACTCCCGCACTGCGGCCAGTCAACTCACTCAGCTGCCGTAACATTAGTCAACACACTGCAACTGCCATTATTTCTACCGGCGCATGCAGCCCTACTTCACCGGCCAAACATCCTAGCCGAACAGCTCTTTTCAGGGCCTACAAACTTTCTGAAGTGGTTTGTCTATTGGAGTATCGACAAATCCCACATGTGTATATTCCATCTTTAAATAGTGACATAAAAGGAGAAGGTTATGAGATTTGAGGTTTTTACACTGATAAATCTTTATACGGTGACCTACGCCTAGATTTGGAGAGAAATAATAAAATAAAAAAACAAATTATCCAAATTTCAAATATACAAAATACACTTATTCCCTTTACAGCTCCTATATAATACACATCAATTAACATCTCTATTGCGATTCTGCCTGATCAAAGCTTTAACATAGCTTACAAAAAAAAAAAAAGATATTTACTATCCTGGTAAGGAAAACAATGAACAGAGACATGAGGGTTCAAGCCTGTTGCCTGAACTTCCAACACACCTATACTGCAACCCACCCTCAATCAACAGATCAGACTCACCTCCACTGTTGTAACCATTAGCTGCTGACTTTATTGAAAAAAAAAAAAACAGTAAATAATACAAATAACTGATTTTAATAACGTGAAATTTTGTAACCTGTCAGTTCAAATTCATAATCAATAAGCCCAAAATACAAGTGATTAGTGGGAGTTGGGTAAGTCATGCAGAGAGGAGGTAGCTGCCAGGAAGATGGTTGGGGGAGAATCTGTTTTCTTTCTTTCCCTTACCCGACATTAACTAACATGCAATGACTGCTTTCTGAAACATGTTTTAATCTTCACATAACAGAGGTGTGAGGTGCAAATCAAATCCACATATCCCGGTAACCAGCAGAAAGTATTAAAACTAAAACGAAGAATAAACTCAGCTGGTGTCAACCAGGTATAATGAAACACACAAACTACATTAAATTCACAAACCCATACACACACAAAAAATAATTATGGCAAACAAATACTATTTAAGATTTGAGGCTTTCACGGCGGTGACTATGAAGAAAGTAGTCTTCTGGGATTTGGCACCGTGTATATGTGGTGTTAACCGACATTCCTCTGAAACGTCGGTTAACACCACATATACACAGTGCCAAATCCCAGAAGACTGCTTTCTTCAAATACTATTTATGCCAATATAACCCCCCCCCAAAAAAAGAAAACAATACAGGAGAAACACAGTTCATTATGAAAATGTAAAAAAGATAAAATGTCCGCATATATTTCTGTCTTAAACACAACTTATTATCAAGTCACTCTTCTTCCTCACTACAAGTTTTGACCATGTATGGCCATCATCAGGTGTTGTCTATCTTGCTAAAATTGTTGCACTGTATGTCAAAGTTTAGTATGTGTGTGAACATGATATTTCCTAATCAAAATAAATTAACCTTGAATTAAAATTAATTAACATCTTACTGTTTTTCATTGTGGTCACTGTCTATTCATTTAAAAGATATTTGCATGAGTATCTCTCATTTTGGATTTATTCACACTGCATTCCCTTTGTGGCGTGGGTATTACAAGTGTTATTTGTGTAGTTTCTTAAGGATGTCAATGTAGTGTTATCAGTCTTGTTATGTATGCACTACTGGCTGTAGGTTTTTCCATGCCGATAGGCTAGTTTGTGTGAATAATTCTGACATATGCTGCAAAAATTTTAGCAAGGTAGACAGCACCTGATGATGGCTGTATAGGGGCAAAACGAGCAGTGAGGAACGGTAACCAGATAGCTGCATTTAAGACAGGACTATATGTGTATGCGTACAAAAGATATATTAATGCAACAGGATGCTTATATACAATACTACAAGCAAAGTGGCCTGAATTTGGACAATTAAACCAAAGCATCATGCCAAACACAACCTGGGCCACTTCACATTTTTCAGACACAGTTCACAATAAGTGTGAATAACATACATACAGTACTCTGAATTTCAGATGTACTGTACAAACCTGAAGTATTACACCTAATACAACTTAATGTGGGACCCTTTTTATTTTTTAGACAGTTTATATCTCGAGGGCCGCCCCTGTGGTCTAGTGGTCAAGAGTTCCTTGCTACAGATCCAGAGGTCCGGGTTCGATTCCCGCCGCTACCAGAGTCCCACTGTTCTAAGTTTATTCATCAAACTGTGAACTCTTTCATGATGAAATTTATGTCAAAATTTTCACCAGCACTTTCTATGAGGTCCATATTTCACATATGTGTCATACAGAAATACATACTGCTCTAAAGTATACCACACCATGAAGAACCACACTGCTCACTAACTGTAACTGAGAACAAATGGCTAATGGAGTTGATTAACTGCTGACAAATCATAAACAAACTCCCATACATTAACCACACTGCTTCCCGTGAGACATAATGCTATCAAGCAGTCCGCAAGTTAATTACTTCCCTTCATTCCAAATGTAACTGGCCGTCATCTGGCATGCTGATTCATTGGAGAAATTTGTATGCACCATGCAGCAAGCACTGCACCAGTTGCCGTGAAGAACTGAGCCATGAACCGGTCGAAAAGTTAAAAATCTGTGTATTTTCTGGTCCAAGCCAAAGCCCAATATAAACACTACATTACTTCCATGTATTCAGCAAATAATATTCATGTAGTGTAAGAAATTTAACTTTCCACCACTCGTACCATGATTTGAGTGATTATGATCAAAATGGCAATTCATATTCACATTCTCTCTCCACTGGAAACTGTTACTGCACAACAATAACCTTTAGCAAGTAATGTCACACAATGAACATATGCCAAGCCATGGTGCTTATAGCATCATAGTCACTTTGATTCTCAGCTGAGGTTCATTCAGTGTTTATTTCATAAGTAATGTATTACTTTACAAATTACTCTATTACATAATTACATATATGTACTAATTTATGTAGGAACAGTCACCATATTTTATCATAATTATATACAGGAAGTCTTATTATAACAGCCTTGCATAAACCTGCCACGTAGCAGATAATTCATGACCTGCTTTCCCGCCGTACTTTAAATTCCCTTATTTTACAGGAGAATCTCAAAGTGACAACCTTGCATTTCTAAGCATGCTTCACATTGTGGGAATACATTTCAACTGAAGTCTTCTCAGCCAGTCAGCTGCATCAATACAGAATAAATCTCTGACAATTCTGTAACTGAGATTCTCAAAGCAGTACTTATGAACAGTACAATCTTCTGAGAAATAATGCCATATAAGTGGGTAGAAGTTAACCAGTGTTCTGAAGAAACATCAGTGAACTACTAAAATGTATGTCATTACATTCCAGAGGACAGCAATCTTCTTTAAACACCTGACAGCTCAGAGATTATCTATCAGAGTGGAAACATGACTCCATTTCAGACACCTGTCTCCAAATCAGGGACAGGCTGAAACAGGCCTACTATCATGAGGGACAGAAGAGAACTCAGTCTCAGAGGCCGTCTCCTCTTACAGCACCAGAGAGTGAAAGAAAACTATACGATTTGGATATGGCATGTCTCCATTGGTTCCTCATGATAGTAAAGTGTCTCTGAAACAGTTGAATTTTCTTCCGTATTGAAATAGCTGATGAACCATGGAGATTTCATTGCAGAAAACCTGTAATTTTATTAATAACAAACGAACCAACTTGATGCTGGTCCTTAAATGTTTTGGGTTCTGGGAAAAGCTGTACATAAACAATGGTGTATAAATTTAGACTATGGCATATACAAAATCAAAATCACCCCTTCTAAGGTGTATATACAGAAGATGTAAACAAAGAACAGATGGTACATTAGAAGCACAACATTAGAAGTCACAGCACAGTAAGCTCTGAAGTGGTAAGATAAATTTCTACAATTTCAGACACACTTGAAATGTCTATAACAAGCAATTACACCAATTCTGTCTCAAAAATGTGCAGCCAAACACAAGCATGAGCTACAGGCATTTACACTAATATTCTATCTGAAGAGCTGTATCAGACATGCAAAGAAACACACTAGTCTAAAGTAAAAACAGTAAAGGTAGCCCTGTAACAGGCGGTGGAGGCCCATAGGGTTGTGAGATGTTGAGGTTCCCACATTTTCTAGACAATCGGCTCATAGATGGCGGTAAGGTTGTCAGCCCTTTACCCCTAAGAATATTCCAAAAAGATTCCTGGCACTCATTTCTGTTAAGAGGCTGAGTCGAACCCAGGGCCATAGTGCGTAGATGGCGGTACGGTTGTCAGCCCTACACGCTGGCCACCCTCTACCCCTAAGAATATTCAAAGAATAATCCTGGTACTAATTTCTGTTAGAGGCTGAGTCGAGTGGCTGGTAAACTGAAAAAAAAAATCCAATGACCTCACCAGGATTCGATCCCGCAACCTTCCAGCTTGTAGCATAGTGCCTCAACCAACTATGCTACCATGTGCGTAAGGTAGAATGAAAAAAATGTTAGGTATCAAATGGATATAAAGATATGAACCATGAGGGCTATTGCATGCTAGCAAAAAAATTATCTTGCACCTAATGCACATCTACATAATGAAAGCTTTATATTCNGGGGGGGGGTTGATACTGATACTACTAGGGGGGGTGATACTGATACTACTACTACTACTAGCTAGTAGTAGTAGTACTACTACCACCACCTCTGTATGTCAAACTACACTTCACAAAAATGTTACCCACACTAATACTTGCTGCCTACTGCAGATAAAAATGAACTCACACTGTTCTGCAAATATCTAATAATCTCGTCCTGAAACAAATTTCTGTAGTGGCAGTGCAGAACCTAACTATAAACTTTCATTACTTGGGTCAAAATTTTTATAAATAATTTGTATTTTCATAATACTGCCATTTTGTATATCAATTTCTTATTTCTCAAAATAAAGCCCACATTATTTAACATATGATCTAAGATGTAAACTTCATACACTTCAGTCACAATATTTGTATGGTGGTACAAAGGGAAAACTACAAGGAAGTCCTCCCACTGTTCGTATATAATACTGCAGCCCCGTTAAAAGATAAGGTGGAGTGCCTGAATAACTAACCTACAACATATTTAGAATGTTACTGTTTCACCAAACAGCCTGCTTATTAAAATAATGCAAATTAACTTACTGCAAAACAAGTACAGAGGCCTCAAACATGATTTAAATTTTGATATTTAACAGAACTCACTAGGAAACTTCAAAGGAGCTGCAAATTCCCCATTACTTTCATGAAATCTGAATGAGCTCTATGTGCTAAAATGTTATGCATAATGATGTAAAACATGTATGAAACATAAGAAACTGATAAACAAAAGTAACAAAAACAGAGGCATTATACTTTTACTCTGGCAAACTGTTAAGCATAAACTTCAGAAATTATATTTATCATATAGGTCAAATTTATAGTACTACCCACCACACAAATTAGTTACTGCATGAACCACAATTAAATTTACTTAAATGGCATGCACACCAGCAAAGAAATACGAAAACAATATGGGAACACAACATGTGCTGCAGAGTATTTGTAAAGAGTTTGAAGAATGACATGTGAAAAATGACCCCAAATATATCACTATATCTATACACCACCACCCTACAAAATAAAGAATTATAACTGATATGTCCAATATTTTTATTACCCATGATCAGAGGGGTTCATGTTTCCTCTTCAATTTGTACACAAATGATGCAAGATTCGATCAGATAATGTGGTAAACAGCAGAAACTGGTGTGCGTTTCCTGGCTATAACATGAAAGGCTCAGGGTTAAGACATAATCACGTTACATGAACTAGTATGACGGAGTATGGTTATGCAGACGACACAGTTTGGAAAACACACGGGAGTTTTTCATGAATGATACTAAGGAACACACCTACCAACAAAACGTTTTTTACTCCAATTAAAACATGTAACACTTTTCTCATCCTTAACGTGCTCTTGATTCTAAATATAACACGGGGGCGCTGAGGCAAAAAATAAACATCAATTACGTTCCTCCATATGACTTTCGGGTCCACATTTCTAACATTTCGTCACAGCCATGTCACCTGAACCAAAAACTTGAAAATTTCATACAGATTAAGATATTGGGTACAGCATAAACAATGCATACCGTATGCATTAACTTAACAACAGTCATTGTTCTTACCTTAAATACGACTTCACAAATGTAAAGATTAACAAATTTCAGGAAAAAGAATCAAAATTCATTCCTCCAGCCTCAGCTGGCCAACCCCACCAAGTACATACACAATCCAAGATGGATGATATATCAAGTACTAAAGTGACGTAGCGAGAGATTAATACTTGGATGTCAAATATTGATGTAGTTTACATTTCTACTAACACTTTCAGTTAATAATTACCTATAAATTTAACAATCTACGCTAAGCAGTCCTGACAGATGAATACAATTTTAAAATGTGATGTCACTGATTAATGCAGTACTCACTTCTAGGCTTCAAGATGTGGGAGCTTGCGGCGTTTGTAGGTAGTTTTAAGCGGTTTTAAGTGTATATTTTTGCAACGAAAAAAGTGTGTGTAGTACCATGCGTTGCAAAATTTAACATAGTCATTTAGATGATTAAATTTTTAGCTCACCCGAATTCCACCTTGATGGATTAATTTGTGCCCGTCTCAGTATGGCTATAATATGAATTCCATTTAAGCTGCAAAATTGCATTTTAACAAGCATGCAATTTACATTGACACTCAGAATTACTTACCTCCTGTTCAGTTCAGGCGGTAAAACACTAGTTTCAGGTTCATAATACGGCCACATCACAATTATTAGTATTCACTTTACACACACCTGTTCACTACCATGGGGGTCACAATTTTGATAATAGTTATCGATAATTATCACAGTAACCTTGAGTTGCATTATCTCTAAGCTCCAAATAGGCGTCCCTATCCACCTGTCATACGTAAATAGATAAGTAGTGTTCATCACCACGCAGTCGTGTATATTCAAAGAGAATGTTTTACATCTCTTATTCATTTGGGTAGCCAACGCATTTTAGGCTCTATTGTCATGGCTAGTTGCATAAGACACTGAATAAAATGAAAAGAAACGCCTTTTCCTGAAAGTGAAAAACATGGATAGCATTACATATAAGAGAGCTGCCAGGTGCCATGAATTCTTCCACACTTTAATACTGAAATGCCAATTGTACCCATTTTAATCATGCACAAGTTACTCTAAATTAATTTATTTTTAATCAAACCATTCTTCAAATTCTGTACATTAAAACTTTCCTCTATCCCGTCAGTCTGGTATGAAACTTAGGTTTCTTATTGGTCACATACAGTTCAATGAAAATCTTCCCACACATTTTCCACTGTATTTACATTGTAGTCACAGATTAGTTTCTAGTGAACCTGATCTTAGCAGTTTCCTTTTGGCGAGTTTCTACTGAACTGCTGTCATACATAAACATAGGAAATGATAAAACAAGATTAAATAGTAGCTCCATGGGTAATCAGATGTTTAAGGAAAGGACGGTAATCCTCGTTTTGGTAGATCAAGAGCATCAGGATTTTTTAGTTGATTATTGAGGAGTCCTATGCAGAATAACATGAAGGGAGCTGGTAACTATGTAACTTGCAGACAGCCCTGGAAGCACAATAGACCACTGTAGGTCTTGATACATTCATTCGTCAGCCTTGTCTGTCACCTCTGAACTACGATATCACAAGCTCTTCACCAAGGATTGTTCATTATTCATACTCAGCTGAAGCAAAGTACATAGTCAAACTGTTATTTTTATATATATATATAAACTGTTATATTTTTCTTGCCTTCCAAGATTCCACTGCCATTTATTGTACCATATGGCTAATATGTAATTATATTGGATACTGCCTAATGTTTGAGGTATATTTAATAACACATATTTTTGGCATTGGCTGTATTGCTATCTTCAGTGGACAGCTGCCATTATACTGACATATTTTCATATTTTATTTTCAATATTAAAGCCATGGTTGGGATTAAAACTAGAACCCCCTGAATATCAACTTCAAGTGCTAACCATTAGATCACCAAGGTAGGTCTGTTAACGTTCAGCCATAAGTGGAAGCTAACCAGCCTTAACCCAACAGCAGCATATCATGGCATGCATTCATACCCAAATATTACAAAGATTTTGTTCACTAGAACATATATATGCAAGTACATGCACCAAATCCAAGCTTTTAGTAATACCAAAGGATAGCAAATTGCATTGGCTGCGCCATAGCTCAAGTGGTTAGTTGCTGGTTTCCCACTGTGGCGGCCCGGGTCTGGTCAAGTGGGATTTGTGGTGGACAAAGTGGCGCTGGGGCAGGTTTTCTCCGAGTACTTTGGTTTCCCCTGCCAATCTTCATTCCCCCAAATTGTCCATCATCATAATCACCCGGGGCAGGCTACAATATGCCAATCAGTGGCTGCTGTGCCGAGTGGACCCAGTTCGACTCCACCCCCCACTAAGCAAATTGCATTACCTTTCTACACATTATTAGCCCAAATGGGATGGAATGATCTCAGGGGCAGAAGCTCAGAAGGGTGGAGTAAAGTTGTAACATATGGAAATGAAACACAGGGTGCACAGTAATAACCTAGTGTTTATGTGGAGAAGAGAAAATTCTTGACCCTACCGGGACTTGAACTCCGACCCCTCATTCGTCCAACCAGTAGCTAGTCGCTTTACCGACTGCGCTATCCTGGTTCCCGATGTTATCATTAAAGAGTTGCTAGATTCTATTTTCAGTATATTTCCAGTGTTCATGGGCCAGCAGGAAAATAGAAGCATGCTGGGTTAATACTTTCCTCACCAGATGGCAGTGGCTATGTGTCTGATTTTAGACTATATGTATACAGTACTATGAAATTATATTAATATACTGTGTTGCAAAGAAGTTAATGGGCGTAAGGGAACTGGAAGAGAGCAGCGCAGGATAGAGAGGAATAGAGGGGCTTGATAAGGGAGGCCGAGGCCAAGGCCTGACATCGGGCTGTTGCGCCATAGAAGAAGAAGAAGAAGAAGAAGTTGCTTTTATTGGGAATAATCATATTATTTTGCTTAGAAATATCACTTTTCATGATCTGTTTAACTTCAGTTTCAGAAGTGAAACATTTTTAGTTTCAAAAATTTTGCTCAGTAAAGGTACACTAATTTTTGCAAAACAGTGAATTTTTTTTAAGAATATTAATAAAACAAGTGCTTAATTTTTTATAGACAGTTACAGATATGTGATTTCTCAATGATGTCCTACAAAAGCCATCATTGCTAGCATCTGTTCCCCTGCTCAGCTATTACTGTTTAACGAAAACAAATATCACACTCCACTCCATCCCTTTCCTGGACCCAAAATATGTGTTGTTTCTGTTTATAGTGTTAGCATTACCGCATTATGAAGTTTGTCCACACAGTACCATGTTTATGTGTTCATGAACCAGTTAATATTCTCCATATGCTGCGTGATAAGAAATGAATAGCATACAGAGATCCTTAAGAAAAAAAAGGGGGGGGAAATTAACACAAATCACCCTTATTAGTACCAAAAAACATTGAAATAGCACTAATGCTGTTAAGCATGCACTTGTATTAAGAACAGAGAGACTTATTACTGCTGTTATCATCTCACTACAGCATTTACTAGGGGAGAGGGTGCATCTTACAATATGTGGAAAGCATATCATAATTAAAGTAATTTTCCAATCAACACTAAACTGTTATTATCTTGGTTAGAAATACACTGATTCATATTAGTTCCAAAAAAGCCTTCTAGTTTTTCATTAACTGTTTGTACCTGGGGAAAGTTTAACAAAGAACAAACTATTATTCTTTACCTCTCTGTTCTCTTCTTTTCACCTGTGGACCTGTAAAGAGTACCGTAAAAAATATCATTCAGAGGGATTTAGAAATATTTAACATTCATTTCAGTTCATGAAGTTGCTATCATCAGTGTTGTAATTTTCATACATGACACACAGGTTCTTATGTAGTTTAGCAATAACACAATATCCATCACAGAAATTACAGATTAACAAAATTTGGAATGGTGGTTTGGTGGCGTAGAAAAGACATAATTTGTCTGCATTTATAATAAATACAATCATTAACAAGAACATCATTTTAATACCTCACGCTGTCTGGCTGATTCTGGCAGATGCCTTGTACAATTCATAAACTCCCAATATATTATTACTCTTGTAATCTACACAGACATTAAAATATGAATTTAAATACAGTATTACACTGTTAGTAACTCTGACCTTTAAGATACCGAATGACTTGCAGCATTGTAAAATACCATGGCAAACTGATTTACCATGTAAAATCACTGACCAAAGGAATAGCTAAGGATGTGCGTACAGAACCAACAGTGCCCATACACCTCTATAAATGAAACATCATTCACAGAAATTCAGAACCCTAGAAAATCTGATCAGCTGCTATTGTAAATTGTATGAAGAGAACAAGAAGACTATATCTGTTCAAATGATTCTAGACAAAATATTTTTCTAGAAAGTTGTATAGGATTTTTCACCAAATTTGTAGCTCATTTCTTTAATAAACGTTTTTGGCTTACTTGTGTTCAATTATTCTTTATACTTCTAGCAATGTATACAGTTAAAACATATTTTAAAGGCCAAAATTAAGTCTTCTGATGAATGCTCCATCATAATTCTGATGAATTATAATTTTCCCCATTGGTTTTTAACTTCAATATAAGCAGTTTCAAGATATATGGTAAATTCGTTGCACAAATTAACCGCATATAGAGGTTTACCTGTATTTTGCTTTTGTTGCAAACATTACTCCCAATGAGATTATTAAAAAAAAAACATTTTTGTCAAGTACAACCAATGTGACAAATTGTGAGGCAGTCACCTGTAAACTACTACTTGCATACTGTAAATCAGCTTCTTATATTACAAAAACCTCTAATGTTATAGTCACACTCTTCCAAGTTAAAATGATGCATTCAATAGCAATTTAATTCCTTGCAATATGAGGTTCTAATTGCGTTAGACTCAAGTGTCATCCTGATTCCTTGGTGGCCTGACTTCACTGTTGCGTTTAATGCAGTCCACAAGCCATCGTATCCCTTCATCAATACCATCCCTGCAACAAATGAAAAACAAGGCATAAAATTCTCACCATAAACTTCAACTTAGTATTAGTATATGACACAAAAAATCACTTATTTTCTGACCCAAAATTAACAACATGCAAGACAGAATACTTTTCTTCTCGAAAAAAAAAATGTTGCCAGTATTCAGACATGACAATGAGAAGGTAGTATATTTTACAACCTTTTATAAAAGTAAACGAATAAACTTAAACACTGTGCACCATGCTACTCGCTAAGCAGGGTAAAGTCTGTGTGCTTAACTAATTAACCACTGCGCCATGAAGGCGTATGTGGGAGTGGATGTATGGAGCCACATTTTCTTGACCTCAGCACTAGCTACAGGTGATTGATGAGCTTCATGCCCAGGCCGCTTTACCACTCGGGAGAGAGGCCCCCGTACCCATTGGATAGGAGGTTGGGTGAACACCAGAGCCAGTCTCGACAATGTTGGGAAGAAAAAAAAATCTTGACCCTACTGGGACTCGAAATCTGACCCCTCAGCCACCCAGCCTGTAGTCAGTTGCTATACCAACCTGCTAAGCAGGCATGAGAAAAATACATTGCCGTTCCACCATACACTCTGCACATCAGTAATAATTAAAAATAATGCTGTCATATGAAGGGGGCACACATGACAAAAATAACTGGTTCTAGATTAGATGATTGGATTTATTAACACCTTTTACAGTCGCTCTAAAGTACAGGCAATATAGCACTATCGCTGAGATATTCATTTTCCAGTTCACCATTCCACATGCACTAGAATTCTGTTTCCACTAGTCGTCTCCTAGCAACAGATCTCAACATAGAAACTATCATTTCAAATCACTATGAAGTCTTCTTGCCATTTCTTGTTCAGTCAACCTTGGAACTCAACTAAAACCTCTCCTGGACTCGTGTGTTATATAGCCTTGGCAAGGACAATGCAGAAAACAAAGTTCTACTGTTTTGTAGCGTAGACCACAGAAAACACAAGTCACATGATAGCTAAGTACTGTTGGAATGTGATGTCACTGCGCATGCGTGGATGTGTGTTTACCAAGCAGTTGCCTAGAAGCAGGTTGCATAACCCCATTGTTCCATTGTTGCGTGTGTGTACTGCTTAGAAATGGCTGTTTCTGTGGCCCAACCATCCTTGCATGGAGCAAATATGCTACAGTACTTTCAAATATTCTTTCCCTGACTATTGTTGAGATATTTCATAAGCATTTCATACGCACTGAAAGACAAAGATCTGATGGTTCTAATCCAGTTGACACATAACAAAGTAATGCCCACAAATTATTGTTAGAAAAATATGAAATTCCTTGACGCAACAGAAAATAGAAAAGCTGAAGTCACCAACCTTCCATACAATTAATAATTACTGATATGTTGGGATTTTGGACTTTATCCATCGTCCTGGTTTTTAAGATAACAAATAAAAACACGACGTTTCGGAAACTGGATCTGTTTCCATCCTCAGGTGAAGGAAAACACCTATTCAGTTGGGTCGCTTAGAAAGAGCTAGCCTCAATCACTGGACAAACCAATGTCACAAAACATGAAGATTATAAACACCTGAGACCAGGCTAAGTCCATGAGAGCTAATAAGAAAAATATATATATATAAGAAGAGGCTAGCTCTTTCTAAGCGACCCAACTGAATAGGTGTTTTCCTTCACCTGAGGATGGAAACAGATCCAGTTTCCGAAACGTCGTGTTTTTATTTGTTATCTTAAAAACCAGGACGATGGATAAAGTCCAAAATCCCAACATATCAGTGTGTTATACACCATCGTCAGAATCCTATAGTAACTAAATTAATAATTAATTTGTAAAATAATCTTATGTGAAAGCAATGTGTGCATTTAACATAAATCATTAAATTAATTCAACATCCAAAATTACAGTATTTCTTACTGAAAATTAAATATCCATCCATTATGCTGTCAAGTGCCCACCTCATGACTCAAGGTACGCAGGTTCAAACCTGGCGGAGGTCGTGGAATTTTTAAGGGCGGAAAAATTCAGGGAACAATTCCTCCGGGAGGGACTTTAAGCCGTGGGTCCTGTGTCGTAGATTTACAGCACATAAAAGATCCTCATGTCTCTAGGAGACCTCTGAGCAAAATTAGGCAAAAAGTTTCCCACCCAAGTAGTTTCCAATGCCTCCGGTAGATGGAGAAGTTATCGGGTACCACTGCCAGAAGAGGGCCGACCTCGCTGGCAGAAAGGGGAGATAGCGAGCACCAGTATCGGTAGGGTATGGCGACAGTAGAAATTAAAGGGGGACGTACAATAGACTACTAGTCATGGTGTATGGGGAAACCCACCCCCTCTAATACTGAATAACTGAATTGAATGCTGTCAAGTGTATGAGTCTCTCAATGGGGTCCTGGATTGGAAATTGGATTTAATGACCACTTACAGTTTGTAACTATAACAGTCTCATGGAATTACACACCCCAAATTTCAGTGTAACTGCAGCACACATAAAGTCTTCTCAGCCTTCACTAGTCATTTCCTGGTAATGGATTTCAGCACTGTCTACTTACATCGTTACCATCGACACATTTTCCACAACTGAACTAAGCTCTAAACTTGTCCCACTGATAACCCCTTGGCATGGACTGCACAGAAAATATGGTTTCCAACAGTTATTCCATTGCTGAGTGTTGATTCGTTGCTGCAGAGACATGTTCACCATGCCATGGCATGGACCACAGAAAACACCACTTCCAACAGTTCCTCTGTTGTTGCATGCTTATTCGTTGCCATTAGACCGTTTTTGTAACTGCCATGTAGTAATGGGTCTACACACTACAATATAAATGCTTCTCTTTTTTTTTCATAACAAAAGATTTTAAAATCCTCTTTAATAAGTGTCTCTTCATATATATCATAAGAAATATCAGTTGAGTGTATTTAATTACCCCAAAACATAATCCACTGTTACAATACCACGTGAGATAAATTTATAAATGTTGTTCACTAAAATATCTCTGCCATACCCAGTCAGAGCTGATACAGGCATCACCATACAGTCTCTTCGGCCAATCAAATGTGCACTTTGATTGAAAATGGGCTTCACTTCACGTACTCCCATGCAGTCTGGAATATCTTGTTTGTTCGCTAACACAAGAAGTGGAACTCCATTCAAACAGTTGCTGGAAATCATCTTATCTGCCAACAGCAAAATATTGACAATATGCAAAGTAAACTGGTATCAAACATCTAGAATTCTCAGTCAACCAGCAAAAATTTAAAGGAAAATGTACCATTTTTATACAGTTATTTAAAAACAAATATGTGATGAGCACATGTTCACCCAACGTGTGGCTGTTCTCCCAGCTAACACTGACAGTGCTATATGTCTTCCTCCGTCACACACATGCTGTCACAGAAGAGGCTAGTTGAATCTGTGATCATGTTGCAGTATTAAGTACCTGAATCCTTTACTCGTCAATCTGCCATGTCAGCTAGGAAGACTCCCACACAAGAAGTAAAGTGAAAACACACTTTTCTAACTTCTGTTTGGTTTCTATAAGATTTTTTCTCATGCAACCAGCACATTACATTCCCCATAGATGCTTGGGGAATGGGGAATTCACTGTATATCACACACCTTCCCTAGGAATGACAAACAGGACTAATGGGACCAACAAGTACAGTCCAGGCTCTACTCTTAAATTCATGAATATGTATTACTAAAATCTGGAAGGCACACAAAAGACGTATATGTCACACGTTAATTTACACAGAGCACACATAATAACACATCATAGTTCATTCATCCATTCATTCATCAGTAATCTGTCAAGACGACAGGTCCACAGTCTCTTCCAAAAAAGTTCCTCCACTTGATGCGATCTAGAGCTTTCTCCTTCAAATGAAAATATCCTCTTCTGTCCCCAAGGTCATCCAGCATCTTCTTACGTCTTCTGGTCACTTCTGTCCGCCCCTCTATCTTTCCTTCAATAACTCCTTTTAGAAGGCAGTTACCACGTAACATATACAGAATATTACTCTGCTCACTGACTCTAAATAATACTTCTTCATTTCTCACATAATCGGTCCAACTGATCTTCTCCATCCTTCTCCAACACATTTCAAAGCTTTCCAGGTGTTTCTGATCTACTGCCCTAAGTGTCCAAGTTTCAGCCCCATACAAAGCGATGCTCCAAATGTAGCATTTCACTAGTTTCTTTCTCAAATTTAAGTCCAATTTGCTGGTAAAAAG